CACTACCAGAAGCTTATGCACAGCTGTATGTGCGTTTTTCAGAAGAGGAGAAAAGACACTGTCAGCTTCTCAAAGGGATCTGTGACCCAGAAATAGTTGTATAATCCAAGGTCCGGCGCTGCTTTATTCTGTCCAGCAGCTGGTATGACAGCCTCCTAGCAGCCATCTGGCTCTACTCTGACTTCCTTCCCCGTGCAGATGGGTGGGAAAAACATACTAGAGCCAGCCCCTCTGACTGGAGGCCTGTTTCCTCCTGCAAACTGGAGGTAAGTAACCCCTGCCCCATAGCCTCTGGGTTGGCCTGAGGTCCACTTGTGCAAGTTGAGTCAGTAACTAACAGAAACAGCGCTTGCTCCCAGCTGGCCCTTCCACGGTCATCTTTGTGGACCTGTACAGCCACCTCAGGAGGCAGAGACCATTATCATCCCATTCTAGAATGCTCTGGTGCAAATGATTCAACTGAGGTCGCGCAGGTAGAAGTGGACGAGCTGGAACTTGAACCCAGACAGCCTTGATCCAGAGCCCAGAGCCCGAGCTGTGCTTTTCAGCTGCTAAACTAGCGCCTGACACAGACTTGGGGCCAGATCCTCCTGCCTCTTACTCTGTGTCTCTCAGCAAGCCATTGACCTTCTCTCACCCTCAGCTGCCTCATTCGAAAAGGGATGATTACCGCTTCGACAGCACAGAGAGAGTATGGAGAGAGACCGGGCTCATGGCTATAGCCCCCACCACAAGCCACGCTCTTGGTGGAGGCGCCCTTAGTATCACCTGGTGTTCTTGTCCTTCCTCCAGGTGCTCGCTGCCCCCACAGGGGAGGGGCACATGGCAGCCATGAAGAGAGGCTCATGGGTGTTTATCCCCTTTGCCAGGGGACTCGCTGGTGCCCCCTGAGGTGGACTTTGACAGGCTGCTGGCCAGCCTGAAGGATCTCAGTGAGCTGGTGGTGGAGGGTGACACCCAAGTGATGCCGGTGCCTGGAGGAGCGCGGCTCCGTGTCCTGGAGCCCATCCCACTGAAGCTCTACCAGAATGGCATCGTCATGTTCGATGGGCCCTTCCGGCCCTTCTATGATCCTGCCACACAGGTAAGGGGGGAGAGGAGACAGGGCTGGGTGCGTCACACTCAGGCTATTCTGGTCCCCCCCCACCCCATTAGCGGGAGATGGTGATGTCCTTCACGGCATCCAGGCCATGCAGAACTTCAGAGGCCCCTCAGCCCAGAGCTCTGAGTAGATCCAGAATGTGATCAACTGGTGAACCTGAGGCCCAGAGCCTGCCATCCAGCAGGAAGCAAGGTGGGCAGCACTGCACAGGTCCAGCTGGGCCTCAGCCTTCCTCTCCTCCCTGCAGCGCTGCCTCCGAGACATATTGGATGGCTTCTTCCCCTCAGAGCTCCAGCGCCTATACCCTGATGGGGTTCCCTTTAAGGTAATGGGCTGTTCCTCAAACCACCCGTTCCCTAGGCGGGGATAAGCGGCTGCCTCAGCCATCACCCATTCTGAGCAGTGAGCCGCTGCCCTGCCTCAGGAGACCCCCAGTCTGGAGATCCCCAAGAGGGTGAGCCTGAAACTGGGCTGAGAAGGGAGTGGGAGAGTTGCCTTGGCCACGGTTGCCACATTAGTGGCGTAAGGCCTTTGGCTGAGCAGCAGGCAGTGCCCCCTGCTGGCTCCCTAAAGTCATGGTCTTCATCCTTGTGGGAACTCTGCCCCTCCTCCCTCGCACTAGGGAGAGCTTGACCACAGGGGCCCCTGAGGCAGGATGCAGAAGTGGCCTAACTTCCCCCAGAGACTCCTGAGGCCCTCTGACTGGGGTAGGAGGCAGGCCAGAGGGACTATAGGGCATGACCTGGAGCCGGTCCTTACAGGGGGTGGCGTGTGGGATGGAGGGTGCCGTGATGGGAGGATGAGAGTCCAGGAGGGCTGTGCGCTAGTTTCACAGTGGGGGCATGTGAGGGAGCATGTGGCACCGCAGCCCGTGAGCGTGACTCACAAGCGGCAGTGCTGGAGGCAGTCTCTGTCAAGACAGGCCCGGAGGTGTGCTTTGATGGGCAAGTGAGGTGATGTGTGTGGCGATGGGATCCGTGCGGCGGACTCGGCTGGCTTTGTCGTCTCCCCACACCCTGTCCTGTCGGCTCCTGAGAGGTGCTCTCTGAGGAGGGTGTCAGGACTGGCTCCTGCTGGCGTGAAAAGGGTTGCTCACAGGAAGAGCAGGCCCAGTAGGTGACCGCAGCATTGACTGTGCCCTCCTGGACCTCAGTTTTCTCCTGGAGATGGTGACAGATCATACCTCGGACCTATTCCTGGGCAAGGGGTGTGAAAAGGATGAAGCCCAGGACTGAAGACCTGGGCCCCAGCCGTCTCCCTTCTTGCCAGGTGAGTGACCTGCGCAACCAGGTCTATACAGAGGATGGGCTGCACCCGTTCCCAGGAGAGGGGCGCACGGTGGGCCGGACGATTCGCAAGCCCTTGGACAGGAAGGAGCACCCAGGTGAGCTCGGCCCTGAGGCTGAGTCAGGTGTGTGTGTGGGGGAGCGCGGTGTAGGACAGGCTCCAGGGGGCCTCCTCCCCCATCACGCACAGTCCTTCCCTGGGCCGAGACTCCCAATGCCCTCCCTGCAGGCTCTGGGATGACTGCTGAGAAGTTTCTGAACAGGCTCCCCAAAATTGTGATCCGGGACGGCGAGGTGGTTGATATCCGGGGCCCCATCCGTGACACCCTGCAGGTGAGGCCAGCCCTGCTCCCCCAGCCTTGTTGGGGGGCTTTTCCATCAACCCTAGCCCAGCCTATCAGAGCAGTGACTTGTGTGGAGGCCCAGGCTTGAGGGCCCGAGGAGGGCCTGGATGGAGAGGTGAGTCCTTTCTGCTCTCTCAGAAACCGGAGTAGGAGAGGGCCCAGCACTTGGCCAGAGAGTAACCGTGCTGGTGGGAGTGAGGTTGTAAGGGAGGGGGAAGTGAGTCGAGGCCAAGGGTGGGCACCTTGAGGTGCAGACCAAACCACCCAGCTCAGCCCCGGATACCCTTCCCTCGCAGAACTCAGCTTCCTCTCCCTTCACTCCTAACTGGCTCCTCCTGGGCTCCTCCTGTGAAAGACACCAAAGCTGTTCCCTAGGACTCTCTCCTTCACCCAGGTGCCAAGTCCTGCTGACCTGCTGATCCCCAGAACTTCTCCCACGTCCATCCCTTCTCTTCATTCCTGCTGCCCACCATCCTGGTCCAGGCTCCCGCTTCTCTCGGGGCGTCAGAGGTGGCCCCTCACTGGCCTCTCACCTCTACTCCTAGCCCAGTCAATCATCCTTCCTTTGTATTCTTTTGAAAATCTAAACTGATATTTGGTTCTTCCCGTGGGACCCAACGCCGATCCTCTTCCCACCTCCAGCCTCCTCCCTCCAGCCCCACCTGACTCCCAGCCGCAGCCACACGCACCGCAGACACTTTCCAATGGCACGGCCTCCTCTCAGCAGACCGTCTGGAGTACCCCTGGCCCTCTTACCACTTCTAAGGACTCCTGCCATCTTTCAGTCACAGCTTGGGTGTTGTCTCCCCTGGGAAGCCTCCGCTGACCCGTGCTGGGCCGGGCATCCAGTCTCGCCCTCTTCCAGGGCTTGGGCGGAATGATGAGGCCGCCCGCTAGAGCGTCCCTTCCTTTCTTCTCCGGGGGTCCCAGTTATGCAGAACACCCTCTGGCTCGTTGGCCTCATCCATGCCCAGGCAGGGATAAGTCCCTTCTCAGGGTTGGGGCGTGGGTGTGGCTCTGGTAGGGTCCAGGGCTCCATCACTGCCTTCTAGAACTGCTGTCCTCTGCCTGCCCGGATCCAGGAGATTGTGGTGGAAACTCCTGCCTTGGTTGCTGAGCGTGAGAGGTGAGGACACTGCAGAGGTGAGGACCCAGGGTTGGGCCACTGGGGGCACTGACGGCCTGTGGGCCCCTGCAGGAGCCAGAAGTCGCCAGCATTGCCCTCTCCCCGACTCTCCACGCTGCGAATCAAGTCTGAGAATGGAGAGCAGGTCTTCCTGCTGCTGATGCGGCCAGAGGACACTGTTGGGGATGTGCGCACCCTGCTTGCACAGGCCAGGTGGGCGTGGGCAGTGGCTGGTGTCCACGGGGGGCTCTGAAACCCAGTCCAGGCCTGATCTGTTCTACCCTGTCCTCAGGGCCGTGGACGCTGCGGCCTTCGAAATCTTCAGCACGTTTCCGCCCACGGTCTATCACGATGATGCCCTGACGCTGCAGGCTGCAGGCCTGGTATCCAATGTGGTGCTGCTGCTGCGTCCACGCAGGAACCAGTTGCCCGCCCCCAGTCCCAAATAAAGCGCCCAACACCCTCTGCTCCGCGAGGCTCTCTTGGCAGCCCAGTGCCTGGGAAGGCCAGGGCCCAGCTGGGCCGGGCAGGGGGCGGCGCTGACCCGCCCCTCGTAACTTGAGCCCCAGCTGGCGGGCCTGGCTGCTAGGTCTTTGTCCTCTGGGTTCCTCCTTCTCCCCAGAAGGGCTAAGCTGACCCAGTGGAGGAAAGGCCAGTCTCAGCTCAATGGCGGCTGGGGCAGCAGAGCCTCAGGTACCAGGGCATAGCCAGCAGATCGCGGTGCACGGATATGCACAGAACCACAAGCACGTGGGGCACTTGATCAACACCGCCCAGCACTGCCCTGAAACTGGCGGCACCCCAGCTGTGCTCGCACCCCCACGACACGCCCACTCAGCCTGCTATACCACAGGCAGCAGCGCACAGAACAGAGCGTGTTACCGACAAGGATGCAAATGGGCAGGCCACCGCAGGGCACGTGTGTGTCCCGGACACCATCACACATGCATGTGAACTGGAGTGACCCATCACACTGTCCCCAGATTGTTGGTCCACACAGGTGTGTGCCGGACATTTATCCAAACACACGCACTGTCACACACACACAGGTGGACACCGGCCAACTCAACCGACCTGCTCACGGGAGCACAGCTTCGGCGCGACCACGTCTACCAGTCTTGTCCAGAGCAGGGGCCCAGGCCACCCAGGCTACACCAAACAGACACGGTGTCAATGGAATGGGACATTTAATTGTCTCTGGGATATTCCCGGGACAGAGATTGCGGGGCCTTTGGCAGAGCCCTGGCTAGTGGAGTCGACAAAGGTGTCCATCAGCCAGCGCCAGGTAGGGTGGCAGCCCCAGGGCCTGGCTGAGGACAGCCAGCATTGGGGCTGTGAAAGTAATTTCTGAGACTAGTAGGTAAGGAATGTTGCTTGTGAATGGAAGAGAGGGGGCTACAGTTCGGGGAGAAGGGAACTGGTCTGGGGGAAGATTCCAAGGTTAAGAGGTTAGGAACGTCACAAGGTCCTTCATGGCCGGGCAACGGCTGAGGGGAGTGTGGTCCAGTGAGCTGGCTTGGCTCAGGCCAGCTTCAGGAACTCCTGCAGAGTGTTCTGCTCCACGGCCTCCACGAAGAGCTCATAGTCCTGGGGGAGGGAAGGGGCGAGGTGGTGACCCGGGTGCTGGTGCCCTGTCTCAGGTCTCACTCTGGCAGGCGCCCGCCTACCCCCAGCCCCCACCTCCAATCCCCGGTCCATACCCCACAGTACTGGTCCCCGTTGACAATCTGGGGTGGGGTGGCCTTGGGGTTGCCCGCCAAGGCTCGCATCTCATCCCGCAGGGCGTTGTCCTGGGAGATGTCCACTAGCTGGTACTGGATGCGCTTCCCATCCAGGATGCGGGTCACCTCGCTCTGCTGGGACTTGATCTGGGGACAGAGGGTGGGCAGGAGATAACCAACAGTGGGAGGATGTTTGGGGGAGCCCTGGGCAGGAAAAAAAGGGGCTGTGGCTGAAGCTTTTGTCTCTGTTTCCCTCCACACCTGGGGGGCCCTGGTCACCAGGAGTTGGAGTGAGGCAGGCCTGCGTGGTCCAGGCTGAGAGGGGCTGTCAGCCACGGGGAGGGGAGCCAGGTGGGGGCGGGGGGAGGGGTCCCGGGGAGTGGGATACAGTTGAGGGTGGGGAGAGCCCGGGCTCGGAGAGGGGACGACATGGCGGGCTTGGGTGGAGGCTGGCAAGGAGCCGCCCCCATCCCGGGTACAGAGTGGAGAGGAAGGGCAAGGTAAGGACGTGGCCAGAGTCAGCGGGTAGTGGGGGGTGCAGAGAATGAGTGTGGGAGTGTCCGGGGCGTGGGCGTGGGCAGTTCATGCTGGGGCGGTTGAGGACCCAGGATGTCCAGGGAAGGGGTTCAGGCTGGAGCCACGGAGCCCGGCCCCAGACGCACTCTAGAAACGGTCTCCAGCGCCGAGAGTCCCGGCCCCGGCCCGGGGGCGGCACCCGGTGCCCGCGCTGTCGCCCCCCACCCCCGGCGCCAGCCCCGGGCGTGCACTCACTTCGCGGGAGCCGGTGACCGACGTGCTGTAGACGCGCAGGCCGCTCATGCTGCGGGCGGGCGGGCGGGCGGACGGACGGACGGACAGGCGGGCGGGCGGCAGTAGCGGCTGCTGCACGGCCTGGAAACGACGCTGCCGCGCTCGGGAGCGGTTTCCTTCCTGCTCGGCCCGCGAGTCACCGCTCTCGGGACCAATGGGCGGCCCGGCGGGCGCGCGGCTGGGGCGGGGCCTGTGCCACCCCGCCCCGCGCGCCGCCGGCCCCTTCCCCTCCCCCTCGGGGGCCCTGGCGCGCCCAAGACCCGCTCGGAGCCGAGCCGACCCTCTAGCAGGGGTGCCGCGCGACCCCGAGGCCCCTCCCTGATCTGGGGCTCGCAGTGTGAGACTTGGGGCAGGGAGCCCCGGGAGGCGAGGCGAAGATTTGGCCAAGGCCGCCGCCTCAGCCTGGCTCGGGCTTGCTGCGCCCAGCAACCCACCCGAGGCCACGGTGGTGCTCCTCGGCTTGGGGTTTCGAAGGCTTGGGCTGTTTTCAAATCTGAAGTTCCCAAGCTAGGGATCCTCGCCGCCAGGGACCACCTCACCACATCCCCCCACCTCGGGTGACACCCACACCACGGGCCTGGAGGCACAAGCACAACCCCGACTTGGAGACTTCTCGCAAAGTTCCTCTCAGATAGGCAGGTTTCGCCATGGAAGGGTGGTGGCAGGAGACGGACCACGCCCTGGGGAACCAGATGAAGGCCAAGGTAAGAGGTTGCCAGCTTTGGAAAGGTGGAGGCAGAGAGGTGTGAGGACTCCAGAGCCTGGGCAGCCCTAGTTGAAGTCCACTCCACGCTGCAGATGGCACTCCCGACTGCTCCTACCCCCAGCAGACTTCAGGGGCTCAGAGGGAGCAGAGTCTAGCAACCAGCTCAGAAGTGCTCCCAGGTTCAGGGCTCTGGAAGTAGCCCAAGAAGACAACCCTAGCTCCATGAGCAAACAGTGCCCTGCCTTGCTCCGGGGAAACCAGTTCCTCACTGCAGCCCCCACACAGCAGACCTCCTCTCAGAGGATGACAGAAACTTCCCAGTAACAAACTTGCCCTATGATTTAGTGCGGCTTCACCCACTAGAAACTGGCATAGGTAGAGATCTCATTCACCGTAAAGGACAACAGGGGAATGGAAATGGTAGATAGGACTTGATGCTAGAGATGTCAAAGGTCCCTCTGCTGCTGTCAGGAAACTGGCTAACCACCCAAGGCTTTGGCTCCAGTAAGGCAGAATGAGGGGTGGAGCAGGGGGTGGTGGTAATGGAAGGCAATGGAAAACTGAGGAGTCTGTTAAATATTTTATTTTGTAATCAAAATAGGCAATACAAACCAGTTGACATAACAAGGATTCATATAAATAACTGCTTATAAACTTTATGAGGAAAAATACCCGTGAGCATGGTGGCTGGGCTCCCAACACAGGGTGGAGACCAGCCAGGCGGCTCTGCTTTTAAGAGGCAGGAGCCCAGAGGCTGAGGGGACAGCTGGGTGGAGCTGTTCTGAATGGAAGGGATAAGTCACTCCATAAATAAAACACAAACTTGTAAAAACACTTAAGGAGTCTCATTCAAGTCTAGGAATGAGGTCCAGGATGCTGCCTAACAGGCTGAAGCTTTGCAAGAATCTCAGTGGGTGATTCTGGGCTCCTGAACTGCTCCCATACCTACATTTGTAGGCCCTGCTTGGCCCAGCACAAGATCTAGAGGAGCTCTGGGCCAGCCCAATGACCAGACACAAACAAGTATGTGTGAGATGCTCCCTAAACAAGGAGGCAAGAAAATACCAGAAAACACAGGGTCCAAAAGCCCCAGAAAAAAAAAACAAAAAACCCCAGAAAACACTGGAAGTTCTATCTTAAGGTCAATATATCCAAGGTACTCTGAATTGTCACGCAACCCAGAGCAGGAAAGGGAAATGACCCCAGCCCTTAAATGAGAGGCACGAGAGGGCAGAGCACTGACCTAGCCCCAGGGGGATGGGGTGAGCAGCTTAACAGTTGCCCTATAGCATTCTGGGGGAAAATTCTGCCCAAACCCAGAACCATAGAAAGGAGTTTATACTTTGTCAAAGCCCAAGAAGGGGGTTACCTAGGAGGCCTGAGAACAAAGAAGGGGGTAGGTGGGGTATGTTAACTACATGACCAGGACCCCAAAGACAAAGGGCAGCTGGAGAATGGGGTCTCCTATAAAATGGCATGGTAGCACAGATGAAGGCGCCCTCACTATAATCCCTAAGCCCCAGTTTTAGTGGGTACTTTGCCAACAGATTGCCCTGAGGCTTCTGTGAGAACAAGAGTGCTAAGGAAGCAGCAACAGGACCGGGCCTGAGGAAACCCAGAAAGCCAGCTTAACTCTCAGGAAGTCTGACACAAGGGCGCCTGAGCGTTCTCAAATGGTCACTGTGACCGGTACTCAGTCTTCCCAGGTCCCGCTAATGAACTCTGGGCTTTAGCAGGATCAAGGTACAGAGCGGGAATGAATGCGGATCCATCCCAGAGGACGGAGAAGGTAGATGAGCATCCTATTTGCCTCTGATGCAAACCTGGGACTGGCGACAGTCTGCAAGAGGACTTATCAGTCAACCTACAGAAGGTAATTAGTAACACACCCTCAAAGGGTAAATCAGGATGAGAGCACAGATGCAATCCAACAAGGCAAAGCCAGTGTGGAGGAGGGGCAGATAGTTCTCTAACTGGTGGTTGGCCCCAGATGCAGGCTCTTATCTCCCCTTTGCCTCTTCTCTTTGGGAATAGCAGCAGACAGGAGGCAAGAGATTATCAGGGCAGGACCCACTGGACTGGGCGCTCATAGACCAAATCCCCCCTGGAGGAACAGAGCCTGCCCCACCCCCAACATTCCTCACTGTGTGACACAGTTTTCTCCCATATCCTGGGCGTATCTGTCTGACATGGTGGTCCGTAAGTCCTCGATGTCACGGCGTAGTTGTTGAACCTCTTCTAGTTTCCTCCTGATCACATCCGGCTTCTGCAAATCTAGCTGAGTCCTGGGATGCTGTGCGGCTGGGGAGAGCATTTCATGAGAATGTTAGTACGTCACTTAGGAGACAGGTTCACGTAGAGGGGGCAGTACAGCAGACAGGCAGTGCCATGAGGCCCAAAGTCTTGATGACACACACTGTCAAAAATGCAGTAGAGTGGCTGATTAGCTTGTGATCTAAGGCTACTTTCTGTTTGTCCTGCACGTAGGTACCCCTGAGGAATGCCTATTTCCAAAACAGATTTACTGAACACCTACTTTGCAAAACACATGAACTGCAGAGGGGAGTAACCAGGCCTATGTGGCCCTGTTCACACAGTACCATAAGGATGGGAAAGTGAATGGGGGTGAGAGGAGCATGAAAGCTACTCTCTCAGATGCCAGGTGGGCCTGAGCACTCACAGTGGATGCCGAGGAGCAGAGAGAGATTGGGGTCATGGCCCTGGGCCCTCTGAGTCACGATGCTGCAGACAGCTTGCAGATCTTGAAGGCAACTGGCCAATTCCTGGTGCAGCTCAAATGCTAGCTGGGCTGTATCTGGTGAAGATGGAGACCCTGGCTGGGTCTGGCGCAGGTGTTCCTGGAGCGTCAAATTCTTCTCAATAAGGTCCTGGTTCTGCACTGAAAGCTGAGCAGATAAGATAGGGAAGCACATTAACCAAGGTCCAGGAAGACACAGTATTTGTGCATGAGTGTGGATACGTGTGCATGTGTGTGGGGAGAGGAAGCACTGAGTCACCCTCCCCACCCCTACACCCACAGGCTAGTTCCTGCTGCAGTTAGACTGGGCCCAGAGAGCTCCAGCACTGGAGAGGAAACTTTCCTGTGCCCCAGCAGACTCTGAGTCATTAGCCTCCAGGTTTCTGTTCAGGAGCTAGAGAAGATACCCCCGCCCCTCAGAACTCTATCTGAAGCCAGTCCCTCCGCCAACTCTGTTAGCCAGGCTATTAGAGAAGGCTTAACGTGAACTGTGAAATCTGAGTAGGTACTGGTTTCAATCTCTCCCTGCCACCCTGCCAAAAGTGGCCACCAGCCAGCCTGATCGGAGCGTGTCAGAAGAATAAAGGGGGCAAGAAAGACATGACAGGAACACTGGGAGGGGGGCTGGAAAAGCTGGGGACCTGGAGGACATAGTATTGGAATGTGTTCTGTCTTTTCAAACCTTCGCCTCAGAGGAATTTGGCTTCACTGACTGGACCATCTATTCGTGTATACCTGTGTCTCCTTCCCTCTCTCTTCCTGAACAGCTTAGTCCTCCCCACCTCTATTCTGTTTCAAAGACACTGAATAGAGTTCCCCCTCCAGTTCAGCCCTTTACCCACAGTGGGTCCTGTGACAATCCCAGCTCCAGAAGAATCCTTCCCAGGCACCTGGCCAGTGACTGCCCCCTACTGACAGTTGTTTCTTTCAGGGGGACCACCAAACTATCTTCTTGAATGAACCCTTTCTCTGTAACTCCACAAACCTGTGGCTGTAGGCAGACAAAGGGAGAATTAATTTCCACTTCCAAAAAGTATATCTGGGTAATTATGGCCACTCTAAGACAGGCGTAAGATCTTTTAAGTAAAGGCTGATACAATGTCTCTTTCTATTCTGTTAAAAAATCTCAGGAGGGGTCTCTCAAACCCAAAGGCTACTGCGGAAGAAGGGATGGGGGAGGTACACAGAAATCAGGCTGTATGTAGTACCACGAGGCCTAGTTGATGCGGCTCACCTCTTTCACAGCTGTGCGCAGCTGCTGCAGTGCTGTCTCCCTCCGTTGGGCCTCCTCTTTCAAGGCCTGGCTTGTTCCTTCTTCTTGAGCCACTTCCTGCTCTAGGCTCTGATTCCCATGGCGAGGAGCGATGGGAGAACAAACCAAGGGTGACAAGTTGACATCATACCATATTGCTTCTGGCTTGGACTATACAGTAAAGTCCCACTCATACATTACTAAGATTACTTTAGAACAGCCTTGATCTGTGACTTTCCATTTTAAACCCTTCTATACCCTGATCATGTACCAAAATGGAGGTCAGCTCCTCAGCAGTCCGGCCTTTAACTTACTTTTCTCACCCAATCTCTTAACCCTCCACCCAGCCTCCCTTCCAGCCACACTGAATGACAAAGGCTCCAGGTTCCCCTTTGTCCAGACTGTATTCTGCTTTCTAAGGCCCACCTGAGCCTTCTTCAACCTGCAAATCAGATCCAATTAATCCTAAGTCCTTCCTGCTACTCATACATCCATCATGGCTCATGAATGCATTTGTTGGCTATATGCATGGTTCTTTCTTTCCCTAAACCATGACTTTCTTTTCTTTCTTTTTTTCCAGATTTATTTATGCATAGAAGAACTGTGGTATAGGCCAGAGGTGCAGGCGGTCAAAGGATTTACTAGAGACAGAGTGGGGAGCAGAACAGGTGGATCTGAAATACACTGCTGAGGAGCAGCGGGTGAGACAGGAGAGGTCTGCTGTGCCATGTGGGTCAGCTCCCTGGCCGGGGATTGAACTCGTGCTGCAGTGGCTGGTGATAGCATGATAGTGCTGAGACTTTAACCCTACGCTGTCAGGGAGGCCCAAAACGTTGGCCTTTTTCAACCTGTGTGGAACCTCAGGGTTCCAGAAAGCCTACTCTGAGATCACTTGAAAACTCTACAAAAGACCTGGAATTTTAAACAGGTACACATTCATTAGGTTTGACATCTCCTTACAGAACTTGAAATTGGTGAACTAAATAGATATAGCCCAACTCACATAATGGCAAAGGTAGTACTACAGCTTACAGTTACCCCGTGTGAGTGTATTTTCATCTGCTTTGGTGTGAAAACCTCTTATAAAGTCCAAAGAGAACCTGAGTGAACCTGCTTTACCGAAGATTTCTTGGAGAACTCAATTAAGGACACTCCTTACCTACCCACTCTGGCTCAAAAGAGCTCAGAGTCATCTTTGATTTTTTCTTTATTCTCTCAACCACTGATTTCTCTCAATTTTATCTCATAAATTTCACTTAAATCTGTCACTTCACATCTCCTCCTTGTTCTGCTGCCTTTATTATCTCTCAGTAGGATTCCTGCCATTCGCCTACCTGTATTTCAGATCCACCTGTTCTGCTCCCCACTCTGTCTCTAGTAAATCCTTTGACCGCCTGCACCTCTGGCCTATTACCACAGTTCTTCTTGCATCTTTCCAAGTGGCCACTCAAGTTCCACACTCAAGCCTGAGTTGCAAACCTGATGCATCACACCTCAGTTAAATGCTACCCTAGATTACCATTCACCTACCTCAAGAACAAAAGCTAACTTAGTTGGAGAGACAGTCTTTTCATTATTCATTTCTCCACTACCATCTTAACTTCAGATAAGCTGCTTGAAGCTCCATATTTAAACCATGATGTTTCCTGTCTCCATGTTCCTACCTGTGCTATTTTTCTCCTACCTGGAATCCTCACACCATTCTATTCAATGGCTCTTCTTTGCCTGCTAACTCTTCTTCCTTCTCCAAAGCTCATGATCTTTGGAAGTCCTTCCTTGCTGCCTCTCCCTCTGTGATTCTGTATTCTCCCAGGGTAACATGAAAGTTAATGTGCTGAAATCCCTTCCCAACAAGACCAGGCTAAAATACTGACTGGGCCATCCTGGTGGTGCAGCAGTTAAGTCTCAGCACTATCAAGCTATGGCAGCCACTGTAGCATGAGTTCAATCCCCAGCCAGGGAGCTACCCCACATGGTGCAGCAGACCTCTCCTGTCTTGCTCGCTGCTC